CTACCTTCTCTGTGATGCCAGCTTCCCTCTCATCTAGCTTCTCCCCAATGCAGGCGATGACTCCAAGTCCCTCGGCCAGGGCATGGGCCACTTTCTGCCCAATCAGCTGTTGAGGAACACACTTGGTGAAACACCACTCTTGGAACAAGGCATCTCTCACCTCTTCTCCTAGTTACTAACCTCATCTGACTCCCCAAAGACGTGTCTTCTCTCCGAGTGCCCCAGGACTACCCAGGTGGCTCCACAGTCTTTGATCATGCCGGGGCTGATCTCCCCAGTGAAAGCCCCATCCATCACTTTGTAGCAGTTCTGGGCAGCCACGGCAATCTTGGGATCTAGCTTCTGCCTGGCGAAGTCAATGTAGGCGGTGGGGGGTGCACAGACCACCTCCGTGTCGGCCGGCACCTTGGCAGAGTTCAGGCAGATGATGAGCTCCCCCAGGTTCGCCTTCCGCCCATTCATCTTCCAGTTTCCCCCAACGAAGAACTTCCTGGAGGGTGCCATATCGTCACTGAAGCTGACACACTGAAGGTCAGCCTCACCTCTTTAGCTATATTTAAAACAGTAAACCTCCATTATGCAAAAAGTTATAGGTGAAGTTAATACATGCAGGGCCCTTTAAGAATTCTATTAGAATAATAAAATGGCCAGATAGAAATGATCTGAGATGCTCAATAGAGTCTTCAAGAAAAATGTAGTTTTATTGTGTGAACAACTCTAATAGGGAGATTAATTAGAAATATTTCCTTACAGATGGAGGGGAGCTACTGGGGGAAATAAAGAGGACATCTATAATACTTTCAACAAAAAAGATAAATTTAAACAAAAGAAATATTTCCTTTCAGTAAGAATCAAGTTAATGAAACCTTTAAAGCAAATCAGAGTGCTACAAGCATAAGTGAAACTGTGTGACTGATCAGAATCCTCCCCATAAAGAGAAAAAAACGATTAGCACCAGGTAATAACAATATTAATGGTTAACAATGATACGATGTTTAAAAATACAGACCAACCCTGAAGCCCTGGTTGGCATGGCTCAGGTGGTTGGGGCATCATAGTCATCTCGTACACTGAAGAGGGGTGGGTTCCATTCCGTGTCAGGGCACATCCCAGGTTGTGGGTTCAATCCCTGATTGGGGCACATACAAGAGTACATACAAGAGGCAACAGGTCTCTCTCTCTCTCTCTCTGTCTGTCTCTCTCTCTCTCTCTCTTTCTTTTCCCCTCTCTCTAAAATCAATAATCCTCAGGTGAGGATTAAAAAAATACAGACCCTGAAGAAATTGGTTTAAAATAGAAGAAAAACAATATTACATAATAGTTTAATTCTTTTAACGTGTGCTTAGTATTTAGAATTCATTTCATGCACTTACTTACACTACCTCATTTGGTACTTTTGTTCTATAAATTGTAAGTATTCTCATTTAAAATTTATCTTTGTGCATCAGTTTAGCAAAAAACTATCTTCCTCTGTTTCTCATAGTTAAAATTACTGATACCCCAGAGTCTAGTTCATCCAATTCTTGAGTCAGTATCACTAAGCTAGAAAAAAACACACAACCCTCTGACCCACCTCTTATATAAGCCATAGCAACTTGAAATAAAGTCACTTTCTTAGATTCCAAATCCAGTGACTAAGTCCCAACTCCAAGGCTCATATGCCCAACTCTTAACCCCATTAAGACCCTGTCATTCAGCAAAACAAGCGAACATACACATACTGGGTTATTACCCAGCGCTCTCAAGGAGAGTTTGTTAGGCCTACAAAATCCCTGAGTTGTCTATTGAATTATGTTTTTGCCTCTAATTGCCACTAGGTGCTGGTAAGCTTCCTTCCTGGTACTCCAGGCCTATATACTAACTTCCAGAACAGACAGAGCCTAGCTCTTCCAAGCATTTCTTCTCAGGGCTGGATTCTACTCTTTAAAAAAAAAAATTTCATCCTCATCTGAGGACTTGTTTTTAATGATTCTTAAAGAGAGGGGAAGGGGGAGAGACAGAGAGAGATATCAATGGGAGGGAGAGAGGGAGCAAGGGAGGGAGGGAGGATCAATGTGAGAGAGAAACATTGTTTGGCTGTCTCTCAGACATGTACTGACCTGGGATCAAGCTTGCAGCTTAGGTATGTGCCCTGACCGGAATCAAACTTGCAACCTTTTGGTGTACTGGAGGATGCCCCAACTAATCGAGCCACTCGGCCAGGATCTGAATTCTACTCTTGACCCCTAAGAGTAGAAACAAGCTAAGAAACAAGCACAGCATGGCAGATCTCCCTTGAAAATCACGGAACTTACCTACTGGTTCTCAAACAATGATCCCTGACTGTCTTACTGCCAGCCCACCTTTCGTGACTGCACATCCTGGTCCTAATAAAATGGTGCCTAAGCCTCTGACATCTTTGTGATCCTGCCATCATAACCAGCCTTTGAAGCTGAGTCAATTCCCTTGGTCCTGACTTTCTGGTTAAACAAGTCTTCACCTGATCAAAGTCTGTGTCATATGCCAAAGACAATCTTCATAACTGCCCGAGTCACCCAAGCTACAACACCAGTGCCCAACTTCCATCACAATCTTATAAATACTGGCTCCTGTTAGTCTCAAGTAACACGACACTAAAGGGCTGAGGTATTATTCTTGGATGGACTTTTAAAGAGTGAGATAAAATTATCACAAAATCCAACAAAACATTAGAATACTGTGAAAGTAGCCTGGCCAGCGTGGCTCAGTTGGTCAGGCATTGTTCTGTGCACCAAAAGGTCATGTTCAATTCCTGGTCAGGGCACATACCCAGGTTGCAGATTCAATTCCCTGTTGGCAACCAATTGATGTTTCCCTCTCACATCGATGTTTTTCTCTTCCTCTCTTTTCCTCTCTCTCGCTAAAAAATCAATAAAAACATATCCTAGTCTGAGGATTAAAAAGAAAAACAAAAAATATATTGTGGAAGTTGTATTAGCATTACAATTTCAAAAACAATAATTCTGCAAAGATGTAATAAGAGTAACTGCCCTCAAGTGTTACTTTGCCTACAAAACAACATGTCACACTCTCCAGAGAGCCTCCTCTCAAATACAAATACAAATGATCCGTGACATTTGCTGTCAGGTGTGCACTACTAAGCTAAGAAGTTCGCTTAACGATTTGCTATTATGTACGCAGTACTGAGATAAAGGAATGCACAGCTGAGATGTTTGTTTTTTTCTGATATAGCACTAAGGTAGGGTTGATCCTACATCCACTATTCTATTGCAGGTACTTTTCTGGATTTAATGATGAAGATCAAGTCCTAAGTATATTCATTCATTCAAAAAATATTATTGAGAGCCTATTTTGTCCCCGGTTCTATTCTAGGTGCTGGGAATACAGAACTGAACAACAACAACAAAAAACTCCTAGTGTCTGTAGCGTTTATATTTTTATAGAAGGAGACAAATAATAAACTTGATAAGTAAAATATTTAATACATTAGAGAGTGATAATACCTAAAAAAAAAAATGAAGCAGAGGAGGAGCTGGGGACTCTCAGGGTGAACGGGGTTACAATTTTGGAGAGGGTGGCCAGGGAAGGCCATCCCTGATGATGACATTTGAGTAAAAACCTAAAGAAGGAAAGGAAGTGAGAACAGTAAGTGCAAAAGCCTTAAAAATGTAAGCATGCTTGGTGTATTCAAGAAGGTAGAGTGAGCAAAGGAGAGATTGGGAGGAGGTGAGGCCAGTGAGCTAACAGGGGATTCAACTGAACAGGGCCCAGTAGCCTGTGTGACGACTATATTGCAAAGCTTTTGCTATCCTAAAATCTGTTTTCATCGGTCATATTACAGAATTACTTAGTACTCTCTTATTTTACATTCTATAGGTATAAAATTCCTCCTCATACCCCTCAAAGGATAAATAAACAATTGATAACAGTGGTTATTCTCACGTGGAAGAACTGGATAGTTGGAGAATGAGACGAGGGAGAGAGACTTTTATACCATTCAAACCTTGTACCATGTCTATGTATTATCTAGGCAAAAAAATAATAAATTGTCCTCACCTTTCTAGGGTCAGTCTGTCTGAGTAAAGAATTTTCTCTTCAGAAGAACGCTGGAGAATGTGAAATGATGACACTGATGAGCTCACCAAATTAATATGATCACCTATTGAAAATGATATATATACAAATTACTTGATTAAGAAAAACCTTTAAAAGCTTAAATTTGGAGAACTTTGGCACCTAAAAATATCTTTTCTAGAAAGTATAGTTTCCATAGCTCTCCATGTTTGAAGTTAATTACTAAACTTGAGTTTCTTTCTTCCTCAAACCTATCTTTATCTCTTTAAATTCTGACACCTAATACTAAA